CTTAGTCATAATTTAATTAAGTGCAACGCAGATGAAGTTTTAAGAGGAAATCCTAGAATATCATATTGTGGTGTCGTACTCATGTATAATTTATGATAATTCTTAGGAACTTTCTCATCTAAGAATGGATTTTGCACCTCCTTTCAAGATGAATTGGGTTGAATCATGCTTACTATCAAATATGCTAACAAGAGGAATTAGAGAAATCTTTGGTTTTAAATCGAGTCAATGTTGGTCATTCGTGCATTTTCTAATGTGAATATTAACCTTTGACATTTGTTGTAAATGTGTCTTAAAATCTTTGTTGATGAAGAGAAAGAAAACATATTTTATAAATTGCATTTACCGCGAAAATTGGACGAAAAGTCGGAAAAAAAATTGGTCGGTAAATAGTGCTATCTGTACGGATGAATAGTGACGCCCGTACGAATGAATAGTGTGCTCGTACGATGAATAGTGTTTTCTAATTTTCGGTCTTTTTTTATTCGGTCCATGAATCCATGTGATTTTTAGCTTTAATTGTTGGGTATTTGCTATTATAAATATGTATCTATTATATGTTTGGTGTGTGACAATCTTAGAGTTTCACCAACAAAGGAGACCAAGGGTTTAAAGGTATAACATAAGATTTCAGCTATGCACAAAGAAAACCTTAGACTACACCTTAGATTTGAGTGATTTATATATTGAGAGTTGAAGAGGTTGGGAAACACTTGAGTAGAAAATAGAGTTGTTCTTGAGCGTCTTTTTCAGGGTTGTTCTTGGGAATCTAAAGGCGAATGTTATTTTCTTATAACCCATTTGTAATCTCTTGTAACAACTTTCTGAGTATAGTGAATTAAAGAGCTACTCTCTCCCCCAAAGTAAATCGTTTGATCGAACTGGGTAAATAAATCTTCGATTTTTTCTTGTTTTATTCTGTTATATTATCTGTGTATGAATTATTATTGGTGAAGACCATTTATTTTGGTTGTTATTATTCTTTATCTCACAAATTAATATTAAATTTTGTCGTAATTCACAATAACATCCTTTATTAAATGAAAGATTACTATGCACACTAAATATACCTTTAGATTCAAGATATAGATTGGTCAATGCTAGTTATTTTTTATCGAATATGACTTTTTGTAGAATTCAATTCTTATTTGTGCTTTTAAAGTTTATTCTATTTAATATTCAAATTTTAGTTTGTAATAATATTATGAGAGTTTAATTAATCCGTTGTAGTACTAGACTAAGACTTTATCTTCACTAGTCAATTAAGTATGTTCCATATTTAGATGGATCTTATTGTTCATTGAAGTACATATCAAACCAGTTGCCACAGCAAAGAAACATACTTGATATTTGATGGAAATACTTGAATGAAGATTTACATTAACCCAAACATATGAAATGGAAAAACCACAACAATATTTGCAACACCACTTATAAATTTCATGCATGGTTGTTGCATATAAATAGCTAAAAGCAACATAAAACATGAAGTAAAATATTATTTCACTCTAAAGTTGAGGCCACTTCCACCTAACTTGTCTTCAAAGATTTTGGATAATTTTTCAACCATTGAAGATGAAAGATAATTAGTCCAATCACCAATTTCACCTTTTCTAAACAAGAACTTATTCTCAAAGTTTCTTCCAAATGTTCCTATCTTATTCACCTCCAACTCCTTCATTTTCTCAAAGCTACACAAGTTTATTATATTTTCAATCACACCCTCTTTTTCTTCCTCCAAGGTAAAAGGACAATCTAAAAAGTTAGCCAATTTTTTCAAATGAAAAACCACATCTTCTTTCAAGTCCTCATATTTCAAAAAAAGAACATTTTTTGGTCTCTCTTTGCTCTCATTCCAATAACCCAACATGTGATTCCAAACCGGGCCAAACCCAACTGACCCTTTACAATACATTCCAAAAGCTTCCTCTAAACTCAATGTAGCCATGGAAGGTGGTTTAATCTTGTTGACAAACATCCAAGAAGAGATAAAAGTGTCAAAAGGGTTCCTACAAATATAAACAATCTTGCAATTGGAGTTTTTGATTGAGTTGGGAAGTGAAGGACATGGAATATGTGTGCCAAAAAGTCTAGGCTCATGAAACTTTGACAAATCAGGAACTTTGTCATGTTTACCATAGACAGTGTATTCAATGAAAGGAACAAGATCATGTGGATTGAAACTAAGCAAAGGATGGTTTTTGGAAGAAATGAAATGGTGTTGGCGATTCATAATGGCAAAAGTGAGAGCTTTCAACCAAGTTGTGCCTGACTTTGGAACAGTTGCAACAAAGACATCACTATCTTTAGCTTGGAAGTGATTTTGAAAAGTGCTTATGGCTTGGATTTCAGCTGGTTGGCACCAAAATCCTTGGAAGAGATATATGTAAGGTGTTCTCCAACCTTTCTCTCTTGGAAGAGACAAAAGCATGTTTTTGATTTCTTGGCTAAGTTGGTCTTGTTCAAGTGTATGGATTTTGGCAAACTTTGTTGTAGACATAGGGATAGGTAGGATGATAAATAACAAAAGGTGTGGGATCGTAGCATTAACTAGCTAAAAGTTTTTGGTATGTGATGCTTTAGTTCTAAAGCAACCATATATTTATAGTACAACTTGGAGGACTTTGCCAATTCTAGCTAGAAGTAGAAGTGGATAACTCTTACTATCTAGTCGGATGTTATCTACTCCCAATTTTAAATATATATATAAAAAATACATATTTAAATTACTTAAACAAGATTAATTAGTGGGATGTTACGTGCTCCGATAGTTGAAAAAAATCAAATATTATCATTGTAATTAGTCGAACAAGACTGATTTATCTATGCTATATCATTTTAATTAGCACGACTAAACTTTTCTTATAAATAATATATTTGTAAATTTTGTAAACACACAAAATCAATCAAACAAGCTTTTTATATATTTTTATCCCGTTATTATTCTACTTTACTTTATGCATTTTTTAGTTTTCCTGCTCAAAATACCTATACTTAACACTCGTAAGACGAGTTAAGAAATCCATAGTTCGGGAAAAAGCTCTTTATTCGTTGTAATCGCTTGAAGAACATGGAGTCATAATTGAGAGTTATTTGTGGATATCTCGGTTAATGTTCAAGTTTGACAACAAATTTAACAATACACTAGGACAATACGATTAAAACCACTAAAAATCAAATTCTCAAGGGAACTATTCTGGTTTGTATGTGCATTTAAATTTAGAAAAGAGTTAGAAGAGTTTATATCAATCATTGTTTTAGTATACAAGACACTAAGTCAACATAGACCTAACGACCCTACATCAATATTAGGAATGCCTACATCTATAGATCTTCCCAAGAGATACACCAAATGATTCACCTGAAACCTTTAGTAGCTATGAATATATTTTCATTAGATGATAGATCAATATTAGTATACATGACATCATGTATCATGTCTTTCAAAAATTCATTAACGCACTCGAATTCATGGTTCACAATGAGGTTCAATAACCTAGAGAGTTTGAGACCAAACGAGCAAACTTTGACATCGCGTGATCACCTCCACAATTCAAAGGAACCATGTTTTGACAAGAATTTCAACTCAAAGACACTTAATAGTTGAAATGGAAGGACCTTTGTAATGGAAGGACCTTTGTAGGTCATACCGACTCATATACATTAAGTACCTTTTTTTATTTTATAATTCACATTTCATTTTTCCATCCTTAACCATAGGGAGGAACCAGATAAAGAAAAATGTTCAATTTCAACATGTACATTTGGAAAGAATACCACCTAGACCAGCATTAAAGATTTGTATGATGTAGGTTTTGCCTTTCAAAATAATATGTAAACACATATGTCATACGCTAGAAGACAAGCCTTTAGTCCACTAGCAAGAACAAAGATACCAACTATGGATTACTCAATTTAGCAATCATGGGGTTAATTTCCACTTCAATAGACTAATCCACATACAACCGACCAATATCTGATGTTCCAATACCAACCCTAATAAATTCAAGGGTAACAAGATATATAAGCGGTCATGTTGGTTAATAACCAATTATTACTAATCCAATTTTCAATATAACACACCAACAACAACAATGTTGTAATACTTGTGAGAAATATTGAAGAGATGATCCAAAAGTAATAATGGGTTAATAATTCAACCTACGGTTATTATCAACAATGGGGTAATACTTTTATGTGGCTCTAATCACCACCAACTAAGGCAAGACCTTGTTAGGGCTATTCGAGGATCAGCACGAGGGAGCATTTTCACTTTGTGACTTTCCTTTTATGAGCAACACATCTTTGTGTGAGACATACCACATATTCACGTAAAACCTTAAGGTAATAGGTGTGTGAGTTCTCCCACTTATAAATTTTCAAGTCCCCACACTACTCACACTTGTTATTCTCAACACATTGCAAAATCTAGAAAATTCTCGAGAGGTGTGTTCACCACCACCATCAGTTCTTAATTTGGGGCGGGCAGGCCAACATAGTGTACAACTCAGTCTAGCACGCTGGACCAAAGAAATGTTCTCCCACAATATTTCCCTCACTTAGGTTACAAGATGTTGTTACTCAACTCATTTGAAAAATACAACAACTATTGCATCTCAACCTTGTAGGCCATACAATCAAGAGATGCTTTGGGATACAATTGAAACTTGTAAATACATCTATGTATTAGAATCCTTATATTAAGTCGATGGACATATTAGTGCATCTTCCAAAGGTTATAAGACGTCTGATTTAGCTAATTTTTCCAAAGAGGATGGAAAATCGACTATGGAGCATATTGAACGGTTTATTGAGCAATATGGTATGAAAAATCATAATGAATGCCACAAATTATAATTGTTACCTTTATCTTTGACAACAACATCATTTTTACATGGTATTTCTATTTCCACCATGTTATAATTTCCTTAACCTAAATTTACAGTAGCCCACTTGAAGAATTTAAAACAACCTGGATATAATTATTTTAGTCATTTATTATTTTAATTGTGAAAATTTGTCTTTTTACACTAAAGTATAGAAAATAAAAATAGTAAACTTGTGAAAATTTTCTTTTCATTCTAAAGTATAGAAAATATACAGCATAAAAAATGTCAATTAATTTCTTTTGTCAACAAAGCTTTGTTTATTTTATCAAGATAAAAAGCATTCATATCTAATTTTTTTATTAAAATGCATTCGGTAAACAAATAAAATCCAATTTCTTACATGAGAAATTTCTCACATTAGACAAATATGATGAGATTATTAAAAAAAATAAAGTTCAAAAGGTACCAATAAATTTATTTTAAACTAAAATTTAAACGTTGATGGAAAACCTTGTGGACACTAAAAATTAAAATACAATTCTATGAATAAAAATAAAATTTTATAAGCTATAAAAACGTTTTTAGTCCCTTATAAAAAAAGTGTGGCGCAATCGTGGGTTGTTGGGAAATCATACACGAGTGCTTTTTGTACATGTGGATGAAACCAAATGGAATCTATGCTAGCTTGGTGTTCCTTTGACGACCACAATAAGACAGTTTGAAGATTATAATATGTTTCTATATTTGGTAGGCAATAATTATTTGATATCTTAGTACGGTCTATATTTGGTAGGCTATATTTTTTCGAGTAGTTTATTTTACGTTAATTATTTTGATGTGTTTATTTTAGTTTTTCAAATATTTTTTGTCCGATTTTTTATTTTGTTTTTAAATTATTTTTATTTAAATTTAATTAGATATTTAATATAAATTTTTATTTTTATTAATTAATATGATTTTTAATATATTTATTAATATTTTTTTTAAAAAAAACAGAAAAACATAATTTTTAATTCTTTTTATTCTTGTCTTGTAATAAAAAAATACAAAAATATGATTTTTAATTCTTTTTATTTTTGTCTTATTATAAAAAAACACAAAAACATAATTTTTAATTCTTTTTATTTTTGTTTTATCATAAAAAAATACAAAAACATGATTTTTAATTCTTTTTGTTCTTGTCTTATCATAAAAAAACACAAAAACGTGATTTTTAATTCTTTTTATTCTTGTCTTATTATAAAAAACAAAAAAAATATTGTGTTAATTGTTATTATCATTCTGGTCTATTTTCTAGTGTTATATATATGCATTAGAAAAAACAAGCAAGGACACATAAAAAAGAGACAAAAAAAAAACATTTGTCCGTTCATTGCTCTCTCTCTCACTCACCTTAAAACAAAATAAATAAATAAATAAAAGAGTGGTCATACTTCATCTTCACACAAACTCATGAATAACAACAACAAATCCGTTTTTCTTTCAAACTCATAACAAATCCGCAAAGTACCATGAAAGTCTCTAAATAACAAATCGAAACATTCGCAATCATGCGCGCATTCGGCACCGTTCAGCCTATATTTGTTCATAAAAACTTTTTATTGGTTTTGTTTGTTTTAGTTTTAAGAAATATTTTTATTAATATGTTAGGTGTTTAGAAATCTTTTTTGGTCTTTTTATCAAAACAAAACCTTTTTAAAATAAAAAAATGACAAAATTTCATTAAAAAAAAATATAACAAGCATTTTATCTTAATGTTTGTGATTGATTTTCTTTTACTTTGTTTATATAGATTTATGTGGATTGTTTAATTTTATTATTTATTTGTTTTGTTTGTGATTATTTAATTATCATTATTACTTTTATTTTCCATTAGATAGAAAAAATAATTAATTGAGTAATAGATAAAATACAAAAATAAATAAATAAATAAAACCAACTCTTTTAAAAAAAATAAATAATAAATACTCGATCCAACGTCGAGACACTTTTTCTCAAGTCAAAACCAACGAGCTCATTTTATTTTCGTGCTTGCGCTTATTTCTTTAATTGGGTTTACTTATAATCTTTTCATTTCATCTCCATCCGGCAAAATATATCTCGTTCTCATTAAGTGTAATAATTTTATTGCTTTCATCTTGATTGTATTTTAATGTTTTATACATCTCTTACTTACACGCTCAAACCATTTTCATACTAACTCTCGATTCAATATTGAGCTCTTTTTTAAAACACCTTTATAAGTCGATTGTTTCTATGATCGCCATCAACCAAACCCAAAACATTCTTGATTCATATATCAAGTCATACCCTAACTTGTAAGTCGACTGCTTTTTTGCATCGCCATCAACCTCATGCACACACTTACACTTTTTCTTTGGTTGTGGTTTCGTTTACTAGGAGCATCCTTAGGGACTAGGAATCGACCTAACTTTTTTTCAAACCCTTGATCCAATGTCAAGTGGTTACTTCCCTCATAAGTCGGTTGCATTTTGCAATCGCCATTACGCAAGTTCATACCTCGACCTTTTATCGAGTATTTTTTTTCTTAAAACTAAAATCTCTTTCTTTTCTGAAAAATACAAAAATACTTTAATCATATTTCTAATATGTTTCAGAAACCTTAATAAAAATACTTACCTCCCTTTGAACCTAACCTTAAGTTTAGAGT